CCCATCTCCTATCTCAAAACTCTTCGATATCATACCTATTCTCTCTTCCTTTGTTCCAGTCTTTAATGAAGAGGTGGTCTTTCTCCTTGTCAAAGCAACTCTTCTCCATTTGTTCCCTTGATCTCATCCCTTCCCATCTCTTCCAAGAGCTTGTCCCTGCTATCATCTCCTCTCTCTGTTGTTCTTATTTACTGTTCCCTTCCCTCTTGCCTCTAAACAGGCTCAGATATCAGCTATCCTTAAAACAACCCAAAACAAAACCCTTCACTAGATACTGTCCTCCTCTCAAACTATTGACCTTTATCACTCTTTTCTTTTACAGCCAAATTCCTTAACAAAAACAAAACAAAACAACTGTCTTCACTCACTACTTGCACTTCTTGTGCTTGTTTCTCTGTAGCTCCGGTATCCCAGCTTCCTACCCTACCATTTGACAACAACAGTAATAAAAATTGTTCTCCTTAAGGTTACTAAGTACTAAACTGCTTGCTAAATCAGATGGCCTTTTGTCACTTGTCATCTTTTTTGACTTCCCTGCACATTTTGACAGTGTTAATCACCTTCTGGATGCTTTCTTCTCTCATTATCTTAAGACACTTTTCTCTCTTGATTCTCCTCCTACCTTTCTGACCATTTCTTCTCATTCTGTGTTGCTGAATTATCTATTCCATGTCTGTCCTGCTCTGGCATTCCTCCTTCTCCTACTGGAGCTCAAATTCCTGTCTCTGGTGCCCTAGGCTCTAATAGACAAACTTTCATCTTATCTCTCCCAGAATCCTACCGCCATACCACTTCCTGTCCAACTCCAAACCACATATACTCAGCTGCCCCTCATCTCTTTACCCCCCTTTCCAGCCTGTCTTCCAGTATCTATCTTCCCCTATTAAAATGTAAGCGACTTGAGGACAAGGACTTCCTTGTTCAAAAATCTTCAGGGACATCTTATTGCTTCTTGGAATTTAACCCTTTACCACCTGTCTTTGTCCTACTTTGCAATTTATTTCATGCTACTCTCCTTCACACACTCTATATTTCTATCAGTTTACTTGCTTGTTCCCCTAACTCAGCATCTCATCTTTAACCCTTGCATAGTGTCCCATGCAGTGCTTTTTTTTCATCCCCATCACTTTCCAATGAGTCTCTCTCCTACTAGCAACCAATAAAACTTTCTCCTACAACAAATAATAATGCAAAACAAATTGACATATTGGCCATATCTTCTTTATAACATCTCTCAATTTTTGTTTCTTGTCCCATTCCTCATAGCAAATTTTTATCTTATATACCTAGTCCCTAGTCCATATGATAGCAATGACTACACCAGCTGAATGGCACCTAAAAGGAGAAACAGGTGAAACTCAACCTTTTCCCTCTGATCTCTTCCTTTCCAGGGCATTGCATTGTATGAACACCTTTAAGTAGCAATTGGAAAAGCTGCAAGTTCAAAACTGGGAGAAAGTCGGCTTTCTCTGATCCCTGTTTTTCTCTGATATATTGTAGTCTGCCAAACTCCTTTTCTCCTGACACCCTTTTATACCTTAACAATTCCTATACCTTAACAATTCCAGTTTAAAATGAAGTACTGGACTATCAGAGGCAACTCTGTAGCAGGACACTAAAGACAAAGTGATTGTCAAGTGGGACTAGTCTACAGGGCAAGCATGTATTTGCCTAATAGACTTTTTGCCCCTAAGGTTAGAGAGGATGAGGATGAGCGTATATTTTGTAGGATCGAAGAACTCAGCAGGAGTTTTGGGGATCCTGACCCAGGAGTGTGCAGATAAATATTTAACAATCAGCTCCCCCCCCCAAAAGTGCCCATGATATATTTTAAAGTTCTGCATTATTAATATTTTAACATTATTAACATATTTAAAATCTAGACAAGATAAGTCTAGAACAAAACAATAATTCAAGTCCTGATTTGTAGCTGTTTGCTGATTTCCAAGGTCAGTGCTCACACTGGAAATTGAGCAATGACTCAGCACATGACTGCTATGGCCACCTTGAACCTCACTTTCCGTCAATTCAGGTCCTCGCTTCCAAGGACATCACTGGCATCTGAATAGCTCCTACGGTAGCTCTCTCAAGACCAGCGAAGTAAAAACAGGAAGAAGGTTTCTGAGCAGGGGAATAAACACACTCAAACCTTACTATTATGCAAGTATAACCTGCTCAACCTGTATTGATAATTATCTTCCAGTTGCTAATGCTATTATCTTCCGGTTGCTCTAATAGACTTAGTGTCTATTCCAAGAGAATTCTGTGTCACCTAGACCAATTACCTGAAATATATTCGATGCAAAGGTGGAAATACTTCAGAAATGAGGTTTACTTTATTCAATTGTCCTTTGTATTGGAAGATAATATCACTTATGATTATTATTTGCATATAGTGGATCTTCTGTGACTTTAAACAAAAATACCTTTAGTGTCAATATCTTCTAATATGAAAAGACTAAGAAGTGACTTAGAAGCCTGTAGGTATTTGAAGCATAAGGGGTTCGGAACAACAGAGTAATATTGGAGACATATCTTTGTTGTTTGTATTTTTTAATTCCAATGAGAAAAGGTCCAAATTTCTTATCTGAAATAGTATCTCATTTTCCAGGCTGATTTTAAGTGCCAACATTTTTGGTGTGAAGCTGTAAATGGAAAGTAGTTTAAAAGAATGTTTTAGGATGAGTATAAATATCAATATTCCATGTTCAAGGATGGTTGCCTTTGAGTGTTCCTTGAGTTAAGAATTAACTTCTATTTATTTATTATTTTAGTTAACTGTATCCATAGATAGTGCCCTATTGTGCTTTGTTAGGTGACGTGGAAGATATGGGAAAACAGAAGTCAAAAAATAAATGATAGGAAGGAAGGTCTCCAGCAAAATTACACAGACAAAATGTGTAAGTGTTCTGTCTGAAGTATATATAGCCTAGAACTCTGGAACTTAATGGCAGTTTGTGCTTTAATGCCAGACCAGATAGCGGGATAGCAAGTTAATACAGGAATTGGTAGAGCAGTACAGAGATAAGTTAAAGTAACATTAAGGATATAAGTCCAGAAATAGCACAAATCACAGAGTTGCTTTTTTCCCCCCTAAATTTCCAGTACATGGAGCGTTCTCTCTTTTCTGCCAGTTTAAATCACAAAATTCATTTCAATTTAAACATTTATTAAGTGCTTGCTGTGCCCTATGCTAGGCACTGGGGAGCAAGATGGTAAACAAGAAATGAACATTTCTTGAATTGAATTTCATTGAAGAACAAAAATGACATAGTCCCTGCCTCAAGAAATCGTCCCTCAAGGGGCAGCTAGGTGGTGCAGTGGATAGAGCACCGGCCCTGGATTCAGAAGGACCTGAGTTCAAATACAGTCTCAAACACATAACATTTACTAGCTGTGTGACCCTGGGTAAGTCACTTAGCCCTGTTGCCTAGCAAAAAAAAAAGAAAAGAAAAAAAAGAAATGGTCCCTCACTCAAGGAACTTAGCATTAGTGGGATGCAAGTATAAGAAAAAAAAATGTTGTGAAGTCTTTTCCAAAGGAAAAAGAGTAATGCTAATTGGAAAGACCAGGAAAGACCTCTTGTAGGAGGTAGCACCCAAACTGTGCTTTGAAGGAAGGTAGCGAATTCCCCAAGGCAGAAGTGAGGAGGAAGTGCAGGCCAGACAAGGGGATCTGCTGCACCAAGGCATTGATGCTGCAGCCTTATGTAGAAGGGAAAAGCCAATCAGACTAGAGAAGAGCAAAGAGAAGGGGAGTGAAATGAGATAAAACAGGAAAGGTCAGTGGTAACCAGGCTGAGGAAGACTTTAAATGCCAGTCTGACTTACTTTATCCTAGAGAAAAGAGGGAACTCCTGAAGATTTTTGAAAGTAGAGCCGGAAGGAACTTTATTGAGGTTCAGTGACTTACCCAGGGTCACACAGCTAGTAAGTGTTATGTGTCTGAGGCTGTATTTGAACTCAGGTCCTACTGAATGCAGGGCTGGGGCTCTATCCACTGCGCCACCTAGCTGCCCCCCTAGAAGGAACATTAGAGATCATATTGTCCAACACCCTAAATCACATACTTTCTTCAAGGCTTAGTTCATGACCTACATTCTTCATGAGATCTTGGGTATTAAATTCTCTCTTTTAATCTCATTCTCTTCCTTTAAGATGTCTGTGGCAAATTTAGAGTGTACAACACAAAATATCTCACTTTAGGTTCTTCTCTTGTTCACCAGCTGTTTCACTGATATTCCTTTTAAATCCCTGTGTAGGCCACCAAGACAAGGGCTGTCATCTTCTTCTGTATCACCAAAAGGATCTAGCATAGCACTGGGGTCCACAGCAGAGGATCATTACGTATATTTATTGATAAGGTTCTTCTTATTGTAGAAGAACCTTCCTTTGCTGCTTAGGTGTTCCATGTAGTAAATTCATGAGAAGAATATACATCTCTACCTTGTTTTTTTTTTTCTTTTAAAGCTAGCTGAAAAAAATCTTCTCCACCCATTCCCACAGTTTTTGATCTGATGATATCTTTGAAGGCAGTTAAAATTGATAGCAGGAAGGAAGCAACTTATCTGCTCAGGGGCTCATCCTTAAAATCTAGTACTGGCAAGTTAGATTTCTTTTCCGCTTAAGCCTCATTGCTCCATTTCTTTAAAGAAACAGTACTAATTTGTTTGGGCAGCATAACTGTAACACTTCAAAAGAAAAACAAGTAGTTCACTGGTTCTGACCATGAAGTAGCTCTTACTTTCTTTAGCATTACTTGTGAATGGGACAGGTCAGGAAGCACTGCTACTCATGGGTGCTTACAAAGTGGATTGTGGGTCATTGCTTCTGTCTACAATTCATTGCAATAATTTTTTTTTGCCTGTCAGACAAAAGCACTACTTTTAGACTTTTGTGTGTGTGTGTTTTGATTAAGCTGCCTCTTTCACATTCATGAAAACAATATAATATCTCTTTGACTTTTAGGATAATTTGACTACAAACTTTGATCTGTTTCAGCTCAACAGCTTTCTAAGGACGATATTCAAGAATTCTCACCATCAAGGAACAAGTAACATCGGTAAGATTATTTTGTTAAGGGTATTTCCCCCCCCCCCCCTTGTGTTTCTCAATGCCATATTGATCTGGTAAGGTACTGACTTGAGAATCTGTGCTTGTTGCTTATTTGCTTTATGAAATAGGATGAGGATAGTCAAAGCCCATTAGACCAGATCTATTTTCTTCCAGACAAAAAAAGGTAAAGAGAGAAACTGCTTTTGGTTTAGTTCATTTCAATTTAACAAATATTTATAAGATGCCTTCTGTGTCTTGGCTATTCAGTGGGGCTGCAAACACAGAAAATGACATAGCCCTTGTCTTCGAGGAGGTTTCATTCTACTATGATTGAAGGGAGGAGGAAATGAGGGTATTTAGCAGGTATACAGATGAAGAAATAAATTAATTTGAAAAAAGAGAGAGCATAACATCTGAGGGGATTAAGGAAGTCTTAATGGAAAAGGTGATATCTGACCTAAGCCTGGAAGGGAGCAAAGGCTTTTCAGAGGCAGTTGAAGGAAGAATCACATTCCACATGTGGAAGGGGATAGCTCTGCATTGGAAGAAGGAAATTGAATGCTGAATTCAGGAACAACTGGTAGTTCATTTTGGCTGGAACACTGAATATGTGATGGAGCAATATGAAATTAGGCTACAAGAGTAATTTGGAGCCCAATTGTAGAGGGCCAAGATTAGCGAGTTTGTAATTTCTCATAGAGACATTAGGGCAGAGGCCTAGAGGCAAAAACCAAAGGTTTTTTAGTAGGATAATAACATGGTGAGACCTGTGCTTTAGTAAGATTATTTTAGGAGTGGTATGGAAGATTGATCAGAAATAAGAAAACCAGTTAGGACCATATTATAATAGTCAGGGTGAGAGAGGCCTGAACTAGGGTGCTGGCTATGGGAGTGGAGAAAAGGGCATGGATATGAAAGATATTATGCAGGTAGACTACTACAAGATTTAGCAACTAATGGATGGGGTGGTGGAAGGAGTAAGAAGAAAGAAGTCGAGGATGAGTTAAAAACTCAATGTAATAAGTATAATTTTCTACAAAGGAACCGCTGACATACCATCAGTGCCTAGTGAATTAGGAGAAAATGTTATCCTTTTGAAAAGTTTAAAGGATATGTATGTGATAAAATTATCCAAGGTCCGTCCTGAGTTTTAAAGTGATATTCCAGAGCATCTTCTACTAAAGTTCTACTTCAGCTGTCATCGTAGTATAGGGGTTAATCCCAGGTTCTCAGAAGCTGTATTAGTGGAGCACAAGTTCTAATGGGTCCTCCAACTGGAAAGGCTTGAAAGTATGGGCTTGTTTTTCATTCTAGCTAGGCATAAATATGTTTATCACCTGGAGGTTGACCTATTGTCACTCAATCACTGAACATTTATTAAGTGCCTCCCACATGCCAAGCTCCATGCTAAGAAGTTGGAATATAAACTCATAAATGAAACAGTCCCCACTCAAGGAGCTTATATTCTAATGGGGGAAACATACCTATGTAAATCTAGACAGAATAAATATATACAGACTAAATACAAAATAAAAATATGAAGTAGTTAAAGACCAGGTAGTTAGTGAGGGAGAGATGGAGGGCATCAGCAGTTGTTACAATCAAAAAGAGCATCTGCATCTTGAATTAAGTTAAAGCTTTAGGTGGGGAAAAATTGTTTTAGGCCATAGCAACTGATGACGCAGATTAAAATACAAAATGGCCATGTGACCCCATCTTGCTTCCAGGATAAAGACAGTCAGGTGGGAGAAAGAGGAGTTAATAGTGCTAAGAATCATATAGCCCTTAGTTAACTGGTGGTGCTATTTACAATTTATCACATTGTTCAACAACCAAAGAATTGGGGTAATAATGAAGGAGGGAATTGCCCAGGATAAGAAGGTGCCAACGAGTTGTATTAGGAGGACAGAATATCCGTACCAATGACATCATGGGTTCCCAAAAGTACTAGAGTGTGGAAAGTTGGTTAAAATCTGAGAAATAGTCTGTCTTGCTTTCCACAGTGAGTTGGGTTCTTTTTGTGAGGACAGGTGAGTAGAACTATTCAGTTCTGTTGCACTCTTGCTGTTGGTCAAAGGATTTCTTTTCCCTTTTTACTAGTTTTTGGTGTAAGATATCTCTTGTATTTAGTCTTGCTCAGTTTCTCAAGATTCAATTAACAACTGACTACTGTCTGAGATTTTGGAAAATGCTATCCTCTTGTCAGTATTCATTACTTTATCTCTTAATAGTAAGTTTTCTTGAAGTAAAATAGCCTCATGATAAACCATTCCATGGAAACCTAATGCCGTAGCTGCCCTGCTTTTGAGCTAATATTTTTCTAATTTTTATGCTAGCTAGAGGGAGAAAACATTATCATTTCATACAAGTTGGAGCAACTTCAAAGGACAGTAGAGTAGGAGATTCTGGAAATAACCAGATACAAACATGTATTTCTGTACTCCAGTCTCTTTGTTTTAAATTTGGGCTAGATAAGCAGACATAATCAAAATATCCTTACATTTTGGATATCCCCTGGGAAAATTTGGCAAGAGTTCCATTCCCCTCTCCCTGAAATCATAAAGAGAGAGAGAGAATTAAATGGGCCTGGGAATCAGTTTTCCTCTAAAAACAGGAGAAATGCTGTGAAACAGATCACAGAGAAATCAGGCAAAGACTGTATTGTTGTTGTCTAATTTTAAACTAATTATGGGGGGCTGGAATATCTCAGGCAGTAAACTTAATACCTGTCAGTAAAAGCACTTTATTCCCTTTGGCATTTTCAACGACATCTTTTCAGAGTGCACATTTAGCAAACACCTGTTACTTAAGGCTGTTTTGTGTATCCGTAAACAGAAAGTCATAGCAAGCCTACATTCTGAAAGCTGGTAATGGTAGTGAAATGTTACTCCTGCCACAAGGTATGAGCACTCACATGTTGTAGAATCTGCTAGGACAAATCCCCCTTTTCCTATTCTTTTGTTCATAGTTTGTCTTGATATTTTTGCCCAAAATGAATTTTGGTATTTCTGTGATATAGTCTGTTAGTATTAGATAGAATCTAAAAATCTTCCACATGATATTGGTATTTGAAGGGACGTCAGTAGCCAGCTGGTTCAACCTATACTCAGTAGGAACTGCCAATATAGCATATACTACAAGCGGTCATCTAAACTCTGCTGAAGACCTCCATGAAATAGGGAATCAAGTACCTCCCGAGGTAGCTGATTGTACTTTAGGACTTCTCCAATTGTTAGAAACATTTTCCTGACTGTAAGCCTAATCTTGCCTCTTTTCAGCCCCCTTCCTTGTTCAGGGTACTGCTCTCTGGAGTCAAACAGAACAAGACTGGTCTGTCTCCCCACGTGACAGTCTTTCAAATACCTAATACTACCATTAGGTTGCCTCTAAATCTTCATTAAAAGGCAGTGTGGTACAGTGGAATTGCCACGCGATTTGGAGAGAGTCTGTATTCAAATCCCAGCTCTACTACTTACTTGCTACCCGTGTGATCTGGGGCAATGAATGAATCGTTCAATCTGCAGACATTTATTAAACTACTACATGCTAGGCACTGTTCTAAATGGGGATACAAAGACAAAAGCAAAACAGTCGCTGCCCTCAAGGAACTTATATTCTAACAAGGAAGACAATAAACATTTACATATGTAGTTATAGGAAATACACGGTAACCTTGGAAAGAAGGTATGTGCAGCTGGGCAGACCAGGAAAGGCCTCATGTAGAAGGTGATGCCTAATATAGGTGTTAAAGGAAAATAAAGATCCCAAGAAGTGAACATGAGGAACATTCTAGACATGGGGAAAAGACAGGGCAAAGCCACAAAGATGGGAGATGATGTGTGTGAGGAACAAGAGGTTCAATAAAGCTGTACTGTAGAGTGTTTGAAGCAGAGCTATGTTCAAGAAAGCTGGAAAGGGCCAGGTTGTAAAGAGCTTTAAACTCCAGTCAGAGAGGTTTATATATGATCCTAGAGGTAATAGGAAGCCAATAGAATTCATTAAAGGCAGAGTGGCGAGAAATGACATGATCAGTCCTTCATTTTTGGAAAATCTCCTTAGCAGTCATATAGAGAATGGATTGGAGTGGGGAGAGGCCAATGATAAGGAAACCAATTAGAAAATATTACAAAAGTCTAAATGATAGATAATGAAAGCATGAATTAGGGCAGTTGACTGCGTGAATGAAATGAAGATATTGTGGAGATAGAAGTGACACAGTTTGCCAACTAATTGAACATATGGGATGAGTGGTAGTAAGGAGTAAAGGATGACAAGATTGTGAATTTGGATGAATAGAAGAATCATGGTATCTTTGACAGTAATAAAGAAATTTAGAAGAGGAATATTGAAAGAAACATAGTAAGTTCTGTTCTAGAGAGGTTGAATGTTAGATACCTATGGAGCATCCGTTTCAAAATGTCTGATAGATAGTTGATGAGAGACTGAAACTCAGGAAAGAGACTAGTCCTGACTCTCTAAATCTGAAAGTCATCTGTGTAGAGATGATCATTGAGACTGCAGTATACCATTAAATGATCAAGTGAGAGTATCAAAAGAAAAGAGAGCCCAAGACAGAACCTTGGATTCCAGCCTTGGGTAGGACGTGGGACATGGATGAGAATCTAACAAAGAAGACTGAAAAGGAACAGTCACATATGTAGGAAGGAAAACCAAGACAAATCGCTGTCATGAAAACCAGGAGAGAAGAGTGTCCAGGAGGAAAGAGGCTAGTTAACAGTGTCAGATACTGCAGTTTTCAAGAAGGATGAGGGCTGAGAAAATATCATCAGATTTGACAGTTATAAGATCATTAATAACTTTGGAGAGAACAGGAATGAATGGATTAATGCATGAAAAAGCATTTAGTAAGCACTTATCATGTGTCACATAATATGCCAAGCACTAGGGACACAAAAAGTTAGTCTTTTACCTGAAAGAGTTTAAATTCTAATGAGGAGAGACAACAGATACATAGAGGGGAGTGGTGACCAAGAAAGGAAGCTTTGATCTAAGGAATCTCAGGGAAGATGAGTTAATCCATAGGGCAGTCACTTGACATACCCTTTTCAAAAGCATTGGTGAGCAAGTGATGAAAAGAAGGCAGAGTACCAATGCATGCACATGGTATTAGGGCAAATTTCAAGATGGCTTAGGTTGGCTGAATGGGATATGAAACGTAGTCTGATCTGGAATCAGCTGGACAGACATCTCAGGCTAGGCAGAATTGGGATAACTCAAGACAGCTTAACCCTATGGCAGGAATTACAAAAATGAGTAATTTAACTTCCCTAGAGACTGGCATCTTGGATTGTAGGAGCCTTTTGCTGAGTGCTGCTGGCATAGGTGAGGAGAATTCAGGCAGGAGGGAAGATGGCAAGATGACCTGGGTGAATGGCTAAATGGGAGGTGAAATATGTCATTTCTCTGAACATCAGTTTCTTCATCTGTAAAATGAAGGAGTTGGACTAGATGACCTTTGAGTTTCCTTCCATATCCAAATCTGTGATTCTACAATCCAGTTCTTTTCTCCAGACTAAATATCCCTGGTTCCTTTAACTTATTCCTTTGTGACACAGACTCAAGACTCCTCAACTTCCTGATTGCCCTTCTTTGAATCTTAGCCAGTTTTTACATGTCATATAAACTTCACTACCTATAACTGAACACAGTATTTACTCTCTATCTTGTTCTCTTCTCCTCCTTTTTCCCCCTCTCAAAATATGGCCATTCAAGCTACTTCTACAGTGGCGCCCCCACACATACACCCTTATCCAATATGCTCTGGAGTTTTTGTTTCTGTTTTGTTTTTGTTTTGCTTTTTGGTTAGGCAATCAGGGTTAAGTGACTTGCCCAGGGTCACATAGCTAGTAAGTGTCAAGTGTCCGAAGCTGTATTTGAGCTCGAGTTCTCCTGACTCCAAGGCCACAGCTCTATCCACTGCACCACCTAGCTTCCCCTATACTCTGTTTTTTAAAGAAACTTTGCCTAGCCAGTGATTGCAAAGTAAGTTAAAATTCTAACAAGGATCTAACTAAACAATTCAATTAAATATTTATTAAGGGGAGGGGATAAAAATTTAGATAAATTAGGTTCCCTAACTGTCTTGAAGCTTATTGTATAGTAGAAATATGAGACAGCATAAATATATTACCATATGTTGTAGTTATCTATGACAAGTACTTTAAACAGGAAGGAAAGCATTTATTAAGAACCCACTATGTGCCAGGCACTGTGCTAAGCTCTTTTTAAATATTATCTCATTTAATCCTTATAACCACCCTGGGAGCTCGGTGTTATTATCCCCATTTTACAGTTGAAGAAATTGAGATAGAGTTTAAGTAACTTGCCCAGGATCACACAGTTAGGAAGTATCTGAGACTGGATTTGAACTTAGGTCTTCCTTACTCCAGACCAAATGCTCTATCCACTGTCTAGCTAGATAGGTATAGAACAAAGTACTAGGGGATTATCACCAAAAAAGGGTCAGAGAAGGCTTCTCTGAGAAGATGCAGCAGTTTAGTTTAGTTTGGCATTAAAGGATTAGTTGGAATTCAGTAGAAAGAATATACCAGGCACAGGTAACAGAGTGAGCCAAAGGCATGGAGGTCAGAAAGCATTAAGGGTTGCAGGGAAATGGAGTAGATCAACCCCTGAAATATAGAGTACATAAGGATGAAGTCATATGAAATGAGGTTGAAAAGGTAGGGTGGAACCAGATTTTGAAAGCCCATGACTGCCAGACGAAGAAGATTGAACTTTAGCCAAGAAAGACAACAGGGAGACTCTGAAGATTTTTAGAAAAAATGAGTGATACGACCAGATCTATATGTAATGAAAATAGTTTGATGGTAATATGAAATGACAATGGAATGGCAGGTTAGAGGTGGAAAGACCTGTTAAGAGGCAATGACAGTATTCACCAAGTGCTAATGAGGGCTCATAGTAGGATGGTAGCAGTAAGAATAGACAAAAGAGGAGAATGGGGTGGAAAGGAGATGTAGAAGGAGGAACAAGAGGCCTTGGTAACTAGTTGGATATAAGATGAGGTTATAAGATTAGAAATAAGATGAAGTACAGCGACAGGCTTTCAGACATAAAGAACCGGCGAATGGTGTCATTGGCAAAAGTTTTGGTCAGAAGGAACTCATTTAGAGGGAGAGAGGTTAAGTTCAGGTTTTTAAATGTTGAGTCTGACGTGCTAGTGCAGCACTCACTTGGCAGTGGCCTACAGATGGAGATAAAGAGAAGCAGGTCTGGCAGAAAGGTCAGAACTAGAAATGTAGGTATGAGAGTCATCTGTGTAAATTTGGTTGAAGTCAGGAGAGTGAATGAGATTGCCCAGAAATAATTAGAAAAGAGAAGAAGGCCTTGGGGGGAAAACCTTGGGAGAACACTGCCTTAGGGAGTTAGGAGGAGAACAAAGGAGAAGCCACTAAAAGAGACAGAAACATTTAGAGAGCTAATACGTATGCATTGCTCTGTGTCACCATGTAAGCTGTATCACTCAAGTTCGTAGCCTGTCTTAGGCATCAGAAGTTGAAACCAGCAAACAAGGAACACTTGCTAATGCTCAAATTGGCATTTTATTGCATGAAGGACATATGAAAGGACAAATACCATTTCTTGACTGTGCCAGAGGTCCCAGTACTCCCAGAGTATGGACTATACAGTGGCACAAATGCTGTCAGAGTTTTCACCAACCTAAAAGTGCCTAGATTCTGCTTGGGATCCACTACCCTTGGCTGGAGTGACCCACTTGCTGGTGCAAGCCTTTATGCCCTTTTGTGAACTTTGAGTCAATCACAACAATAATCAAACAGAAACTGAATATTATAGCATAGATCAGTGCAAATGGCTTGCCTGAGCCCAAGAGAATAAGGTACAATTACACTGGCATTATGTACATACAGGATATAAGGAAGGCACACAATATTTCAAAAGAGCATTGAAGCCCTAGCTTGCTGTTGTATAGTTCCCATAGACCTCCACAGCCCATGCTAATGAGGCCCCCCTGGACTGGCACACTTTGTGTACCTTAAAGTGCTATATAAATGCAAGCTCTTTTTGAGGGAGCTCATGACAAAATGGAAAAAAGAAACCAAAACATGGAGTCAGGAGACATCTAGATCTGGATCCTTTGTTGTTGTTCAGTCATTTTCAATTATATCCAACTGTTTGTGAACCTTTGAGGGTTTTCTTGGCAAAAATACTGGGAGTGGTTTGCTGCTTCTTTCTCCAGCTCATTTTACAGATAAGAAGACTGAGATAAACAGGGTTGTGACTTGCCCAAAGTCACACAGTTAGTTAGTGCCTGAGACCAGATTTGAACTCAGGAAGGTGAGTCTTTTTAACTGCAGGCCTGGCACTCTATCGACTGCATAACCTAGCTGCCCTAAATCCTACCTCTGGTGTTTACTAGCTCCGTGACTATGGGCAAAATCATGTAACCTCTCTGAGCTTGTTTCCTCATCTGTAAAATAGGGACTATAATAATAGTTGACATTTATATGGTGTTCTAAGGTTTGTAAAGTACTTCCCTTATATTATTATTATATTTGCCCTTTATAACATCCCTGTAAGGTAGGTAGGTATTATTATCTTAATTTATAGATGAGGAAACTGAGGCTCAGGGAGATTAAGTGACTTGCCTAGGGTTACACAGCAGGTGTAAGATTGATCCCTGATCTCTACTGATTTCAAGTCTGGCATTCTTTCTACTATATTATATTCCTTCTCAATAATAATACCTGAAGGTACCTACCTTACTGTTTGTTGTAAAGTGCTTTATCAACTGTAAATGTTAGATAAATGCAAGGTATCATTAGGAAGAGAGCCAGAACATAGTGTAGTCTTTGAAACCAAGGAAAGAGTGCATGTCCAGAAAGAGGGGGTGATCGATAGTGTCACATGCTGCAACAGAAGTAGGAGGAGGCCTGGGAAAAGGCCATTGATTTGGCAATGAAGAGGTCGTTAGGAGACTGCAATTTCAGTAGAGTGGTGGGGGTGGAAGCTAGTTTATAAAGAGCTGATGCAAAAAGGTCTGTGAGGAAGACATGGAAGGTATTGGATAAAGTTAGCTTTTTCTAGAAGGTTGGTAATTATTGAGGAAGAAAAAAAGGGATGATAGCTTCATGGGAGACAAGGGCTTTTTTAGGATTCAGGAAGACCTGAGCATGACTATGAAGAAGCATTGAAATTGATGCTCCTGCTATCTCATTGGCATAGGCCATGTCACCCTTCTGGCCCTGTTGTTAATCCCTAAGAAGTCTCTCCATGCTTCATTGACAAGATTAAAACTTGACACCTTTCTCACTGTGACCTGCAAATACCAAACTTCTGTCCATACCTCTTCTCCAGAGGCTCAGGATGAATGCAATGCTAGAAACCTCCGAGCTGCCTGCTGTGTTTGATGGGGTGAAGTTAGCTGCTGTGGCTGCTGTGCTGTATGTGATCGTCAGATGTTTGAATCTCAAAAGCCCGACCGCCCCACCAGACCTCTACTTCCAGGACTCTGGGCTATCTCGATTTCTGCTAAAGTCCTGTCCCCTCCTGACCAAAGAGTAAGTGATTTCTGCAATCTTATTCTAAGTTGTGTTGCTTGGATTTCCAAAGAGAAGACCGTAATTAAACCTAGTTCACTTATGCTTTGAAACTAAGTTGACTTACATAGAAAGCAGGAGTGGTTGATCACTATCTGTGATTTTAAATATGGAGCTTGTGTTGAGGCCAACAGCTGCCCCAGTAGCACCAGCATTTGAATATTACAGCCCCCGAATTAGAAATAGAGGCAATGAAGTCTTTTCTCCTCCTCATCTCTCCTTCTACAACAAGGTGGTAGCATCAGTGTCAGGAACTTCACAAAAGAAACAGTGGTACTTTAGGAGCAAAAGTGAAGCCAGGACAGTCTTAAAGCCATTTATCAAATTCACTATTTCCCATCCCAGATAGGTGAAACAATCATAAATATTGAGCAGAAAAACCATCTCTGCCCAAAGTATTTGAATGAGAAAAAAACACAGACATACTGGGTACCTGCCAGTTCTCTTATGGGAAAATATATCAAACTTCCATTAGCTAATGAGAACATTTGCTTTTAAATCCTGACGGGTTGAGTAAGACCCCAAGTGAACTGAACCCTTCTCCTTTAATTTATGTTTTGGAGAGAAGGAAGGATGCTTTAAATTATTGGGAGGTTGAATTAGAGCCTCTGCTGTGGGTAGCTTTGGGTCTGAGTCACACAGGAAAAGGGACTACCATTTTCTATGTTGGGTATTTATTAAAAATTTTGAAGAACAATGAAACCTCATCCCTCTGGATAGGAGTTCTGTAATATTCGGTGTATTTATGTGTCCGGGGTGGAGATGTTGACATAGGAAACAGGTTGATGGTGGAATTCCAGACCAACAACAGAGAGATCATGAGCCTGGGGTTCAAGTGCTTTGAATCCCATCTGGTGGTTCAGTTCATGCTCAGATGGTTATCATACTACAAGTTTTCTAATTGCTTTATAAAATGTTTTCATTTCCTGAATAATTTCTTAGTCTCTGCCTACTGATTAGAACCTTGTTATATCTAAAGCTCAGTTAATTTTTTTTCCCTAATACATGAGAATGGCACTCCAGTACAGATTTTTTGAAAAAAAACAAAAACAAAAAACAGTGCTTCTAGCTTTACCTTTCTTCCCTCCTTTTTCTTTATATGATTTAATTTTTTTAGCCTTTTTAAAATAATAAATCACAGAATTTTAATGTGAAAAAGGGACTCATGAACAACATATTACTGCATGAAATCAAATAAGAAAAGTTCTTCATTTTTTTTATTTTAACTATTTACTTCAGCACTACAGGATCTATGATTCTGTCTGTAGATTTCTGCTTCCTCCACCAACCAAGATCATTACCCCGCTATACCTTAATAGTGGTCTTAATGAGTTGCAGTGGGTCATCACCCTTCTGGTAAGGAACTTGTCTGAATTTAGCTGGGCTGGTCCTTGGAGGACGGTTAGCTGTATGTCACCAGGCCCATACTTAAAGCCTGTAGGCTTTGTAGGACTTCCCAGAGCTTCTACCTCTGCTAAGGTAGGGCATCAGTAGATTTTTAGTGTCACAAATAAGCAACTAAGATATTATTTTAGAAAACAAGTTTGTGGGAAACATATCTTAGCCCTTTGGAGGCTGGTGTATAAGGAACTTTCATGTGGTTTCTCTGGGAAATTCACTTGCTTTGGGTATTTGTGTCTTCTATTACTAGTGCTAAACCAAGCCTGAGCCCAGAATTAAAAAGCCATGGGAGTAAATTTTCTGGGAATGTTTTTTCTCGCTAAAGCATTGACAGATTGCAGCATAAGAATTTTCATCCATTTTTTTCCAGTTTTCATTTTGAAAGGGGGAGACTGAGGATTCAGTGATTCAGGTGTGTCTTTTTTCTTGTAAATAAAGTAAGAAAAAAATTCATTTTATAAATCCTTGACATTCTAGTTCTCTATCAAGTACTTCAAGATTATTGATAATCTTCATAACTTATGTCTAGTTTTTTGGGGGTAACATAACAGGTTCTTCTGAAACAAAAGGCTAAGAAAACGCCAGTGCAAAAAAAAAATAATGTAACCAGATATTAGTACAGAATATTGATGTATATTCTATATGATATAGAATTTGGATAATATATAGAATATTGAATTAGGTTACAGTTCCTGCCAAAGAGACTGAATTAAGGCAAACTTACCAACCCCAGCATTAGGTTAGGCAAAAATTAAGCTAAAGACATTAAAAATGCTTATTGTTAATACTCAGAAAGCATGTCAAAATAAAATCTTACCCTAAAGTGAATTGTGCTTACACAATAGCCTTACTTCATTATGATATTAGATGGTTCCTTCCCTGCCCCATTTGGAGAATGTTGCTTCTTGAATTACAGAGACATTCACATTGCTAAAGATCAGACTTGAGGAGTTTTGGTTTATATGGATACCCCCACCCCACCGCCCATTCTCTGCTGTCCATAGTATAACTGATTGGCATGAGAAATGGATATACCCTTAAAGGGAGAAGGGGACATAGTATGTGAGAGAAGGCATCTAGAACCCAGCTCCTTATAGGCACATTTTCAGAGAAAGATACATTTATATGCAGATCAATGCTAATTTCCAACAGCATTCACTCCTGACTAATTAGAGAAAGCTGTTATTTATTGCCCAGTCTCCAGTGAAATATCACATAAGGTTTGATTAGTTATTAATTGTTCAGTGTGTAAAGGAAACTCACTAGGCTTCTTTCATCCAACAGCACCCCCCCCTTTTTTCCCCCACTATAATAGCACAAAGATTTTAAATGCTGTAACTTCTCTTGTATATCCCTGTTCCAGGCACATCTATTTTATGGGCCTGAAAGGCAGAGATGGCCCTAGTTATCAATAACCTAGAGCTAACTATAGTTTCTATAGTGATCTATGATGGCTCCATTAAAATGGCCTTCACTTTGCCTCAGCTGACCTCCAGTCTGATGTGGAGGTGTCCTTTGATCCCTTGGATCCCCTTTAGCAACACAGATATTTGAAGACAGAGATTAGCTATGTGAACCAATTGCATCAAGTTAGTTACTGGTAAATTGCCATCTTAGCTCCAAGTTAGGTTAGGTTTGGGCATTACCCTCGATCTCCAACTGGGCTAATATTTGCACTTGTGGTTTCAGGGATGTATTTAATGAATAACTCTCTAACAACAATTGACTTTCAAGATCTGTCCCTTTGGTTTGTCTTACTTTTGCGGCATGATAGGATGGCATTGAAATAGCAAAAATCTGTAATACTTACGCACAAACTTCTTTGTAAAAAGTGACCGAAGGGACCAAAGGTTTTAACCCCTTTGCATCTGAGGATAGCTGTTTTACCCTTTCTTCCTTTGTTCGAAGATGGGGCCCGCTAAGGGCCAACTTTTCCCAACTCTGGAGTCTGACTCAGGATCCAGATCAGAGCTTGAACCTTCAAATTAGATTCGCATCTCACATTCCTTCATGTGGCTGGTGCTTGTCCAAAGCCAGTTTCTCCTTATAATGTTCCATGTAACATCCTTGTGGTCATGACAGTTTTTTGAAACCAGGACAGAAAGCTTTTCTGTTGTGGGCGTAAGTACTCATTCTAACAGCTAGATCACAAGAGACTTTCTAAAGAAGCAAGCATGCTTATAGTCTTTTTCACTAACAAATCCCCTTCCAAGTTTGAAATGGCAGTGAGGACACTTAAAATAAAATTGTTGTTCTTGATCAGCACTACCCACTTGATGAACGAAGAACTGAATAAGAATGTATCTTATTTTACCATCTTCATTTCAGAAGAAATCTGCAGGAAGGTGAAAGAAACTGGAAGAAAGTTTGTTTAAATTTCCTTATGTATGACATTACAACTTTTTAAAAAATTTACTCTACATGGGAAAGATAAAGTGTTTAAGTTACAAATGAAGTAGTTCATAGGTAAGTGGAAAAGTCTGATTCAATGGAATGGTATAAATCTCTTATACTAGTAGAAGCAGATGAATATATATTTAGACTTAGTAATTCATTTTTTGTTCTTGGGTGTTTACTTTAGATTGGAATGAAGAGACCAATACTCAACTTAAAATTATTTTTTAAAAAAAACCTAATAGTTATACAAGTTGCTTAATACCTATCAGCAATGTGTGACATAAAGAGTCAATGATGAGGAGACAGGTAATCTGGTTTCAGTCCTGTCACTAACTTGCTATATGATCATGTCTCTTAATCTTTCTGGGCCTCAGTTTCCCCATATGCTAAATAGACTATCTCAAAGATCTCTTCAATCTTGAAAATTTCATGATCCTAGTAATGTAAGGTTTTATTAGGTACCAGCAGAAAGCTACCTATCTACACACTTGCTTCCTTTTAGAGAAGGGGACTATGTGAGACATTATTAATACGAAAGTTATGGAGCAAATATGAAGATGAGATAATGTTTCCTAGTAAGACACAAGTCGAATGGAGCTGGTAGGCACACAGAGAATAGTAATAGCTATAGAAAACCTTGGTATGCCCAGAGTGCAAGTTCTGTTTAGATCTTTAAAAGAAATAAAAGAGGAAAAATGGTTGTCTTTGTTGCTTCTGACTTCCAAAGCTATTTTGGGGGTGGAGAAGCTATGTATGGACCTAAACACAGGATTTAGGTGAGCCCAACTTGCTTATCTTTACCTCTGATTATCATCAGAGATTGTCTTGCAGAGTGTTTTTGACCTAGCTTAGAATTTAATTTATCAACTAGCCAAGAAGGAGAACAATAAAGCCACAAAATTGTGCAGAAAATAAAATATTCAATAAAGTATGCTCTGAACAGCATGACCCAAAGGAGGGCCTCTGAGGGGGCCAAGTCTCTTGGAAATTCATTCTCTAGGTAAGGAATTGAGGTTATCGGCCTGCCAGCTACAGCTCTTGGAACAGAAGCCTTAGAGATTTCTCTATAGATAACTCCTTTGTGACTAGAGGCCAAATGCCACTTTTCCTCTGTCATTAAAGGGAAAGCCAGGCTACTGCTTTCAGAATGCTTATTGCCTCAC